ATATATATATATATGACATTTTCTTAAATAAAGAATACATTATTAGAATGCAACAATAATTGAATTTCACACATTCTGATGACAAGTTTTCAACATATATGGATGAACCCCACTTACCACTCTTACAAAAATCAATAATACCCCGGGAGAGATGCTATAGAGCCCTCCAGAACAGTTTACTCAGAGGTTCTCCTTGCTCTCAAATGTATTGATCTGCATGCAGTGTCTTACGGTAAAGGGCGGCCTTTAGTTTCAGTAGTAAGATTTGTGTCTCATCTTACCACTTATCTTTTTTAATTAATTTGCATGACAGACAAAACATCACTTCTGAATACCATAGCCAGCCATATAGCAAATTCTTACAGATGAATGTTTCAGTGATGCACAGAGTGGCACAGAAATGAAGCAAAAAGAGAGATGTAATGAAGCGGAGGCGAATTGGGGGGGGTGTAGTTCACAGGAGATGTTTCTAAATCGGTCTGAATTTTAGTGACTCAGCTGGCATAGTTCAGAGTACTGTGTCACCCAACCGATCTGAGCTGCTTTAACTGCTCGAGGCCCCTTTACATTTAGAGTTGGGTTGAACAGGTGCGCAGTTTTCAGCTCTGCCCATTGGCCAGTGGTGTGAAGTCATAAATCTCTGTCTTGTGCATTTACTCAGACACCTTTCTCAAGGGCTACATACCCTTACAGAGGTATGTAAGGTCCATGAATAGTTTAATAGGGGGAGAGTTTTGTTTATCAAGTGTGCTGAAGTGGTCTGACCCCATCCATACCCAATCTGGCTTGAGAAAAGAATTGCTTCAGTGGCTCAACATTGCATTCTAAAAAGCATTGTGCAAGGCCTGGGCAACAGCATCTCCCGCTGACCAGTATTGCCTTTTTTTTCTTCGACCTCAGCACTCTCAGTATTGCTTTATCTGTGGATTCCCACCATTGACTGGGGTTGCAAGTCTCATTATGCGAGAATATATTCTTCAAGAATAAATCATACCGTAGTTATATTGTACTCTGACATCTGTACTTTAAGGTGCAGGAGTTGTTTACCAGTTTCTGAAGAAGATTCTATGTCTATGCTACGATCAGTGTTGCAGTTAGGATCGCACCTGAAAAACTGGACACAATTTGATTAACCAGCCACTACTCTCTAACACAGATCAGTCACATGTGCCAGTTAGTCAATTTCAACGAGACTCACTCATTAGAGTTCTTACATACAATATATGGAATGGAACATTAGAAGTTGGTCTTTGACAAGGTAGACCTAATGAAGCACATCATTTGTGGAAAGGTCACTAGAGCTACTGCTTATTTACAGGCCCTAACGATGTGAAAAATCTAAGACATTTTGATTGGGCTAATGTAACTTCCATAGTAGGTGAATATGTATTCGATCTAATTATATCTTTTTATATCTTTTATAATGTCTGTTCAATTCTATTCAATTACATAGTCCTCCAGGTATCAAGAACAAGTGATACTTTTTGTTTTTTTGTTTTTTGTCAAAAGCTCTTTGTCTTTTTTTTTTGCTATGTGATGTTAAATCATTTTCTGGATATTTCATTGCATACTACTAATTTAATTATACTGTAGTCTAAAATATTGCCTTCAACTAAGTGCATCACTGCTGTTTAGTTATTCATTATCTTATGGGGGAAAAAAGAATAAAAACAGAACTAAAACCAACTATTATAACATATATATTATAATAAATATGTAGGGTATTATAATTTAAATAATGGTTTTATAAGGCTGTATAATTCATGAGTTGTTTTATTAATAGGTCTTTGGATTTTTTAAGGTGAAAAGTAGGCCCCGTTAGATGCAGTATTTGTTTTAAAGATGAAGATTTATAATTTATCTTTCCATTAAGATTTACTGGTGGAGATGAACCAATGTATCATAAACTGATATTTATTTGCCCATTACTGATCAAATTAAAATCACCAGTATATCAGACATGAACTTGAAAACACATATCAAATGAGCAAGAGTGTAGAACAACAACTATTGTTTGTGTGGAAACATTTAAATAATTCCACAGGTTTAGGGGCCAAAGATATATTTAAAGGAGTCATATGATGTTGCTAAAAAGAACATTATTTTGTGTATTTGGTGTAATGAAATGTGTTTATGCGGTTTAAGGTAAAAAAAAACACATTATTTTCCACATACTGTACATTATTGTTTCTCCTCTATGCCCCACCTTTCTGAAACACGTAGATTTTTACAAAGCTCATCGGTCTGAAAAGCAAGGTGTGCTGTGATTGGCCAGCTATCCAGTGCGTTATGATTGGCCGAATACCTAGTTACCAGCACGGATCAGCTCCAGGCATGACGAAGCAGATATCGTCCTCTTTTAGAAGGCCAAACAAAGTAGTTTCGCTTTCACAACGAATCACACAGCGCCTTCACGACATGGCGGTGGCGGCAACAACAATACTACAGCGAGGATAAAAGTTACGCCTTCTTTCTTTGGGTGGACATTTGGGCGGCTTTATGCAAATCTTCCCACATCGTGATGTAGGTATGTGGGGGCGTGTTAGAACGAGCCGTTTTAGGTAGGCGTGGTTGACTCTTAACTTTTATAAAGAATATCTCTTTGGATTAGAGACTTTAGTCTTTGCAACTTTACAGATCTTCTTTATGCACCAAGAGCTTGTAACACTCCAAAGAGAAAGGAAAAATTTAAATCGCATCATATGACACCTTTAAAAAATACTTTATGTATTTATTTTTTGTTGTTGAAATTGCTGTCAGACAAATTTGTTCAGATCATTGCATCCCTAATTACTACCCAAGGGAGCTTAGACTAGACAGAACTTCTGGTTTCAAAAGTAGCTGGTTAATGTTTCTGTGAAAACTTAATACTGTGGGCCGTGAGATCGGTGCCCACTCAACACCTCCTCTGCCAAGGATCTAGTAGACCATCTGAGATATGCAGTGTCATTTTCCTGTAACAAGGCTCGTGTTCTTGCTCTGTGTGTTTCAGAAATGTGAGTTGAACATCGACAACCTGAGCAAACCAGAGCTCCTGACCCTTTTGAGTATCATGGAGGGAGAACTTGAGGCCAGAGACCTGGTCATTGAAGCTCTTAGGGTGAGTATGAAATCTCTGCACTTGTACGTCCTACATTTGTGCACATTAACTGTATAAAATAACAACATATCCTAATTATATTGAAGACTGTCGCGGTGGGTGAAGCATGTGCTCATGTGACCTAAAAGTGGTTAGGCTCATGGGGATTTAGGGTCTGTCCCATTTTGTTAACCAGATCCTTGTCTCTTTATACACTTTTTTTTTATTTCAGAGATACACATTTCAAAAGTTTGGGGTCAGTAAGATTTGTTATTTAAAAAATCAATCATTATTCAGAAAGGATGCATTAAATTGATCAAAAGTGACGGTAACAACATTTATCTGTTAAAAAAAGATTTCTATTTTAAACAAATGCTCTTCTTCTGAGCTTTCTAGTCATCAAAGGACCCTGAAAAAATATATCATGGTTTCCACAAAAATATTAAGCAGCACAACTGTTTAAAACTTTAGAAATGATTAATGAGCACCAAATCAATAGAGAACGATTAGAATGATTTCTTAAGGATCATGTTACACTGAAGTTTGGAGTAAATTTTACCTTTTGCCATCACAGGAAAAGAATAAATAGAAAACGGTTCTTTTGAATTGTAATAATATTTCACAATATTGCTGTTTTACTGTATTTCTGATCATATAAATACAGTCTTGGTGAGCAAAAGAGACTTCTTTCAAAAACATTTAAAACAATCTTACCGACCCCAACTTTCGTACATTAGTACAGAGGTGATGTTTGTTTTTGTCAATCCAAGCACACTTTAATGTCTTAAGGAGATAGAAAGTGTTTAGAGCTTAGCAGAAGAGCCGAGTCAAGGGGATTGTAAGGTCATGGTACAGCATTTGTCCCTATTTGTCTTTGCATTAAGGTCAGACGTTCACACTGGTGTAAGAGTTCTAGTACATCTGATTAAGATTAAAAAAGGATATACTTCCAAAATCAAGGTCAGGAGTGTCACTATATTTTCAGGTGTTCTAGTTCAGGTTGTCTCTGTGAGTTTCTAGGCCAGTGTATTGGCAAAACGATGGGCACATTTTCTGTCTCTCCATCTCAGTCTCCCTTCCTGTCTCTTTTTTGCTTAGTTTATGCAGGTTTGTGATGTTCGCTTGTGTCATTCACCCTCTTCCGCTTTACTCTGAGATGGTTTCCATGCATTTTAGAGGCAGCTCTTTTTGTTATTCTGTTCCCTTGGCTGCAAGTATTTCCCAGCTGGTTTTCCCCCTGTGGATATACTATCTCTTTCTCTCCCTCCCTCATCCCTCATTCCCTTTCCACAGCAACCAGCTCAAGCACAATGGTCTCGTTTGTTTCCTTAGGGAGATAGTGATAGGGCCAAACACGTCCATACCGACTTTTAGACATACCACTTTAAAAAAAAGCCAAATAATGCCATTTTGTTTATTTCCTAGGCCATACTGTAAATATTGCATTTGATACATGAGAGATGAAAGCAGCAATCCTATGCATTATTAAGAAGCTATGCGTTTAATTAGCGAGTTGAAAAAAAGCTCTGTGTGATGATTCGTTTTTCGTCAGAAACAATGGCGGTACATAAGCAGATTAACTGTGGAGTCACATGCCTACAAACCCTCGGACTTGCGTTCAGAGCCAGCCTGTTATATCCAGTCACATCAGTTCAGTTTTTGGGCCAGTGTCATCTTGCATTGTAAAGTTCATCGCAAGATAAATGGAAGGTCTTTAGTGCAGACAGATCACTTTGAAACGGTAAACAGTCCCATATGGACATCTGGATACAGAATATAGATGCTCACAACCCATTACGTTTCAAGTGTGCTTATTTCCATTCATAAAGCCAGAAGTGTCAAGTGGAGTAATGGCAGGTCTGTGTACAATGGTAACTACTCTGTAGTACAATGGACTACAGAGTAACTTTTCTGACACAATGTAGTTTATTAATTAATGTACTCCTCATAAGTTTGTCTTTATGTAATTCTTCATTTCCCCGCTTAAAAAAAAAACAAAAAAACAGACTAAAGCTAGTATGAATGTCCATGCTGGTTAAGGTGGGTTAGTGCTAATTTAGCCATAGCCATAATGTTCACTTTCCTGGTAGCTGATAAAGCTGGTGGTACTATCAGTATCTTTAACACTTAGCCTCTTTTGTCGGATGGTTAAATGTTGTTGGATTGTTGTTAGTATGTTGTTAATAGGTTCTTCACTGTAGCAAGAAACAGTATGTCACTATTCCAAAACCTCTTGAGCTTTTTCTTTTTCTTTTTGGCGAAATCCAGTCATTTCAATAGAAATCCACAAAACTTCTCATGAGGGCGAAATATGTAGCACATGAATATTGGGTAAAATAGTCCATCAAAAGAAACTTTTTTATTGTTACTTTTTGATACTATATAAATTATACGGTAGGTATTGTATTTTTTTTACACTGGTCTTGCTTTTTCTGCCATCTGACCTTGTAGCAATGCATTGTGGACTGCATTCTCTGAAAAGGATACATGTGATGCTGCATTAGAATTTGGCCAAAAAAATCTTGTGGGACGGTCTTCACATTGGGAACACACCGTTGAATGCCTTTAAATGCTGCCTATGTAGGCAGCTCTCTAGGTTTTGGAACAGAGCCTGTGAGTATCTCTAGGGCAAAAAGTTCACAGCTACTCTTTTTTTTTTTTTTATCTTCCATTGTGTGACCATATTTTGTTTCACCAAAACATATAAGAGCTTTGGCAAAAACCTGACTTGGAATCATAGACAAACTGGACTGGAGTAGTGTAGGCTGTCTGTTTCAGCACTATTAATGTGATTGGCTGCTTTCTGCCTGTGCCGCTATGATTAGATGTAGCCGTTTAGCTTCTGAACACGCTTTCTGGCACTGCCACGTGAGCTAGTGTCAGGCCATCGTCACTAAATGAAACTGGATACAGGTTCAGAGATAGCAGTTCAGTGCCTCTTTCTCTCCTTGCATATGAGCGATTGTTTGTGACAGTGAACATGTTTAGCCTCTGATGTGAATGCATATTTACTGGAGCTGCTGCCTCAGTTCACGTTCACATATTTATTACGGGGAGCGTCGTACATTTTGATACATTCTTTTTGTGTGGTAGATGGTAAGAGTTATTTCCCTGTGTGACTGATAAAAATAGTGCACAAACACACTGTGTACAGGGGCCAAAATTAACACTCGCCAATCCCCAAATCAACAGTGCCCACTAACTTTACAGGGAACTGCAGCATACATGGCTTAAATTAAATTATATTTTGTATATACATGTTTAAAATAACATTTATATTTATATATTAGTTTTATATCACCAATAGCAAGTAATTTTGGACACTATCTTCTAGCTGTATGTGTAGGTATCGGAATATTTGTCTGAGTATCCATTAATATTTATTATATTTTTAAGGAATTATATGATATTTTGTACATACTTTATTTTATTTAAATTAGATTTTTATATCACTGTTAGTAGGTAATTATATATATATATATATATATACAGTGGGTACGGAAAGTATTCAGACCCCATATTATTTTTATATTACCATTAGTGGGTCATTTTGAACGCTGTGGCCATTCAGGAAGGCTAAATATTTGTCTGAATGTTTTTTTTAATATTGTGTTTTGTATAAATAAAATAATACTTGATTTATTTTAATTATAATTTAATATTTTTATATCACTTTTAACAGGTCATTTTTGATCTAAAGCTATATGTATTGGTATTCTGAGTATTTATAGGTAACTATATTTCCGAATATTTATATATAATATATGTTATATATTATATATAGTTATCTGAATATTTTATTAATTATATTGTATTATATTTTATTTGTTTATATTATGTTTATATTACCATTAGCAGATAATTTTGCACATTATCTCTAGCTCTATATATAGGTATCTGAATGTAGCATGCAAATCAAAGAGAACAGCTTGGAGATGTTTGTGTTGTGTCAGAGTATTTCTCTCTCTCTCTCTCTCTCTCTCTCTCTCTTTCCCTCCCCCCTTCCACCACATCACATCTGTCAAATGCATGAAGCAGAACCATAATTCCAAATGCACGTGTCTGAAAGAGCAGCTTAGCTGATCCTCGCGCTGCCATTCGGCGAGGCTGAGGACAGTCAGTCTGTGTGTGTGGGTGGCTGGATGGATGGATGGACAGAAGCGCATGTTATGAGAACACTATCCAAACAGTTGAAAATCAGTTGAATTTACAGACCCCATCCAAGGTATTTTCCAGCGCCCTCACGTTTATTTAGAAGTGCACTCTCAATCATTTGTAAACACGAAAGATAAAGAATCATTGCAAAATACTGGAAATCTTAAATAAGCAGAATAAATCAAGCACCGCAAGCATCTGAGTCAGCCATTTTGTTTGCTTTTCTCCTAATGGCTTTAGTTTTGCCTGAACATTTAAGCAAGATTCACGAGAAAAGAGCGCTGAACTAGTATCTTTCAAGCTTTTTAGTGCAGCTGTGTGCAGAAGTGAAAGAAGGGGGTGACCACTATTTCACGAAGTCAACTGAGTCATCAAATATAGTTGGTGGGAATCCATACAGAGCTCTTTGTGTTCAACAGGCAGAAATAAAGAAAGTTCAGAAAAACAATGCATTTGAGGTTTTGGTAAATGTCAGAATTGATATTGAATTTGGTTTAATTGAGGCTAAAGGAGGCCAGCACATACTTGAATGTGTTGTTTTGAACATGATGCTGTTAAATGTGATGGCACGGTGGCAGGGAGCATCCCGTTTGGGTGATTAGTTGTTTGAGTGAGCGCTCAGGTCATGGGCATCATGTTAACTCGCTGTTATTTCTGGCTGCAGGCCAGCTGAAGACCAGCCCTGTTGATGTGACAGCCGCCGCTCCACCGGGCTCTGTTTGAGAGAGATTAGGGTTATGATGTGGAAATGTTGTCTTAACCCTCACAGCACACAGATGCCCCAGTATCTTTTATTTATCTCTTAATATATTATTAAGCTATCACATTGAAATCCAAACTGGAATTGTCCTGATGCACCATATAAT